TGTCAGAACCAACCAACAGTCACAATTCAAATCTGGCTTCATTGACATTAGTCGACAGCACATGTTCCACGACATAATTTCAATATTCGAATCTGCCAAATACAGTGGAATCAGCACCTTTGATAAGTGACTACATCAGTTCTTTGACAAACAGTCAATCCACATTAATTAACAAACCACCGACTATTCATATTCAATATGAACAAAATTCGTCATTAACACAAAAAGAAATGAGACTGGTTTGATTTGTGAACATCAGGAAGTACATAATATCTAGGCGTTCAGATATTCTAATAATCAAATGTTTAGATATTCCCCAGTGAGAAACTTACTCGAATCTTACCAAAATCTTAGAATAATCTTATTAAGGTCTTAGTCAGATTTCGCTTACATTTGTCTCAGATCGTGAGATCCGAAACTGAGATTTGATAAGATTTTTCTAAGATCTTACTAAGATTATACTGTCTAAGACTTTTTTAAGCTTGGGTAAGAATCTGTTAGGGTCTTAATAGTAAGAATATCGCGTAGTTTTCCCTCTCTCCCCCGCAAGAAAACCAAAAGTTTAAAAAAAGGACTCTGTAACATCCTGGAGGTGGATGTCCTCTATCGAACAAAAAAACATAATTGTCTATGATGAAGCCTCTACGAAAATTCTTGTTTCGAGAAAAAGCTATTTTTTGCCCGTAATTTTTGAATATCTTGGAAAATAGTCATGATATTGGTCCGAAAATTTTAGCATAGCATCCCTATATCATGACCAAGATATCCTGAAAATGTCATGCAATTTCGTGGCATGGAAGCCGAGATCCGATTTTGAGGAAGAGGTGGCCTTAAAGTAGAATATTATGATTATTTTAATCAAACATTTTTTATACATACATTTAGATTACATATATCATATTGACTACAGTATTGATTGTTTTTTCAAATACTGAATGGGATTATTTGACAAACAAAGACGATTAAAGAGCTTTTCAAAACGATGAAGTATATTCTTGTGCAAGTTTTATCAGTCTTATATTTCATTTCAATTAGGTCTTTAATCGTCTCTGTTTGTCAAATATTCTCATGCAGTATTTGAAAAAACAATCAATACTGTAGTCAATATGATATATATAATCTAAATGTATGTACTAAAAATGTTTGATTAAGATAATTATAATATTCTACTTTAAACATAATTTGAATTTAAAAAGTACTTTTTCTCTTTTCATAAAACAAAGCTGGAATATAATTTGTGTGAATATTATGACCTTCACCAATGCTACCCAGAACTTCAAAATAACTACAAGACAACAACAACTCCTCACTTTCTGAAGTAAAATGTGAATGAATTTTAATCATTTATCCATTAATAAGGCACCAGTTATTCGAAGTTGTAGCACTATTTTATTTTTAGCTTAACTGTTTTCTCTTTATCTTCTCTCACATTCAGAGAAGAGGGAGTTCAATTATAGAGTTCACGGTTGCTTTTGGTCCATCACGGTTGCTTCATAGTGATAATTGAAAGGAGTTTGTTGCAAGAGTTACAATTGAATTAAAACAATTGTTTCTTTCATGGTCTCACACAGATGTTCTAGCTTCTCAGCTAATCACTCCTTCTCGAGATTGTGATTATTCTTTAATTCAAGCTCCTTCTAATCCATCTAACACATCAGTGCGTGAGTATGGCTTATTACCTAGCAAGAGAAACTAAGAGCATGATTTTAGCATATATAATTAATTTGATGACTTTATCAGTTGTGATCTCTGATTTTTCAATTTTAATTCCAATTTTGCAACTCTAATTTCTACTAACTTACTCACACTTAGAATTCCAATTTTGACCAGTCAAACTTGGAATTTTAATTTTGCCTGAAGAAACTCTAATCAAAATCAGAATTCCAGTTTTGTCCAGTCAAACTTAGAATTCCAATTATGCCTAAGCAAATTCTAAGTTTGCCTATAACATATGCGTAGAAAAGCAGAAAAATGAGACAGAAAGAAAAATTACACTACAAGCAGAACGAATAAAATGCGGCATGTTTGAAATTGAACGATTGAAGTTGAACTATACCGTTGAATACAGTGGTATTCAAAGTGGGACTCCTAAGACCACATTTTTGCGTGTACCCCGATGAGATCTTTGCGCCGTACAACGTAACTCATTACGCTGATTCCGAATATGTAAAAATCTCAAATATCGCTTCTCTAGAAAAAAATCATCAAATTTTGATATGCTGCGCAACGGAAAACCCTCAGTTGGATATCGAAAGAGACTTCAACGTACCTAGTATCTGCGTCCGGGTAGGCCTGTCATCGTATGGTATTATTGGTCCATATTTTTATCCTTCTACTGCCACTGGTGAGGGCTACGTAGAAACGTTACAGAATTATTTGCGTCCACAATGGCTGACAGGTCAGACTTGAGCGACTTCTGGTACAAACACGACGCCTCTCCTGCTCACTACCCATTGGAAAATAAAATCAAATCCTGATTTTCAATCCGATTATTTTGCACTCAAATCTGACTTACCTCAATGAAAAATCCCCAAAACTGATTGTAATCTAGATTTTCATCAGAATTTCACTACATTTTAACTGGTTTTTGGATTAAAATTAAGATTACAATCAGTTTTGGGGATTTTGCATCAAGGTCAATCAGATTTGGGTGCAAAATAATCGGGTTGAAAATCAGGATTTTATTTTATTTTCCACTGGGTACAGTCGTATCGCTCGCGAGTATCTATATGAGACTTTTCCTGACAGATGGATGGACCGTCGTGGTCCAATCGACTGGCCTCCTAGATCATCTGATTTGTCACCACTAGAGTTTTTTGCGTGGGGTGTTGTAAAAGATGCGGTTTATGCAAAGAAACCCGCGTCGATTGATCAGCTGCAGATGAGATCGTTAACGCGTCTCAACGGATTTCAACTGGTTTATGTAAAAAAAGTCTGTCGGTCCGTGGAATCTCGTCTTTACAAATGCATTCAAGCTGACGGTTTCCACTTCGAAAAAGACTAATAACTGATTATAATGTGACTTTCTTTAAATCAAATACTATCTGATATTGATGCTAAACGTGAAAAACATAGCATAGACGGAAATTTAATAGGAATCAGAGATGATCGAATGAGTTTTAGACCACTGTTTTCTATGTCACATTCATAGAATTACCATTATTTTTCCAAAGATTGCCGACTAATTAGAAAATAATTAGTCGATATCGGTGATAATACACTGAACTATGCAGTCAAGCATCCTTTTTCTAACGGTGGAAACCGCACCTCTCCATGTCGTTTCTATCAAAAGTTATCTGAAATCAAAGACTGCCCGGTAACTTCTGGTCCACCCTGTGCTTTACGTGAATATTTACGTTGTTTTTTGGCATCACATGTCGTTCGTTTTCGTTGGAATCTTCCAACAATTTTTATTCATCGCTGACTCACATCAAACGTTTCTATGGCATCTTTTTCTACTTCTATTTCTTCTCTTTCTTCCTATAAATATGCGCCATATTCCTGAGAAACCATTCCTTCATTTTCATCACATATGTTAAGCAATCACTGAATCAAACTGAATCAAACACACACATATTTGAGGAAAAGAGAAAGAATGGTATGATAGATGCCATTCTTTCATAAAAAAGCAATAAAACAGACCGGCATAGAATACGATGTGAACGAGAAGGAATATGTCCAAAAGTGACCTGCTGCAGAAGAGGAAAGAGAAACGGTAACGAAGACACTAGTCATCGCTAATACTAAGGTCGAGTCTCCTATGAGCTGGATTGTTCCTAAATATTTTAGTGGTTATTTCACACCAGTCAGTTGCCTAACGCAAACCCTCAATTCTCTCCTCACAGAAGATATGAATCGTAAAACTGTTAAAATCTCTCAACTGCTCAATTTCTTTTCTTTTAAATAAGTGCATTGTAGGGTTTTCAAAAAGTTAACACTTAACGGGTTAAAGAACGTTATTTCACCAAAGTTATTCTTATGTTTTGATTACGACAGAAACACAGGACTACCGCTTTTTTATTTCCCGTTGTTGCCATTACTCACAATATAATGCAGAAAGAACAGAAAAAAATAAGCAGAGGTGGAGAATTAGTACTACGTCTTACATGTATTTTTTCTTATATCTCATTTTATTCGTATTGAATTTTTTCCCAGTGTGCTTCTTTCTCTCCGGTATTAGACGTGTATCCAACTGTTTTCGTGTATTTCTCTTTCTGTCTCAATTATAATTTCATCGTTATTGCATCCTTTCTTCAAGCGAACAAATCGACTGCTCGCTGTTTCTTTTTTTTCTACACTTTATAAAAAGTTATGCTCTTTTATGACATCTTATTTAGTAATCAACCGATACAGCGAATTCAATCCCATTTATTTGCCGCTTTTCGTAAAAGGGACACATTTCATCAGAATTCCACGACAATTTTCTGATTAGTTCTGTAATCTGGAGGTGAGATTATATAGTGCTCGTTGAGACATGTTCGTGTTGCATTTATTTTAATTCACTGGGTACACCGCAGACAGTAAGAGTCTATAAATAAAAGAACAGAGAAAGAAATAAAAAATAATTTTCTCCATATGCGTGTAAGAGACTCAATGCATTTATGTGCTTTTTCCTTTTCATTTTGTTTTTTTAGAAAACAACATAAAGGTAATGATAAGAAAGTAAAAATCTGTTGCGTACGTGCGAGATATAACTTTATTAACTGTTGTACAAAAATAACTTTTCACAACTATGAACAAATTACATTGAGACATTTTAAATTGTCACGTCAATTGTATTAATTCCTGTGAATTATTCGGGAAAAGTTAGTATCTCATTTGAAAATAAACTGCGTTGTTACTCGAATTTTCAAAATCAAAACTTATTAGAGTAGTTCTCTTATGGCCAATATAGTATCTGAAGTTCGTAATTATTTCAAATTAGGCTTATTAATTGCACGATCACACCTTTCACTTCGTCATTTGTTTAAAAATCGTTATTTATTATTCAACAATGGTCAAGTATGGGATGATACGCCAACATGTGGAAACAAGTATGTAACCAATGTGATTGCGAAAAACAAGAAAATTAGTTTAACACCTGTACAAAAGATAGCTGTTTCTAATGGAAATTTAGATGAATGGGATGTAACAACATTAACTGCTCTTCTATTATTTATTTATCGCCCAAAAACATTAAGCACAAGTGAAACACAACAACTTGATCAGGAAGATAAACTTTTGCAACAATTAAGAGAAATTCGAAATAAATTAGCTCATAATGGAACAAAATCTGTTGATAATGTACAATTCAATCAATTATGGGCTGATTTAGCAGCAATTCTGGTTGCATTTGGTGATGTTGAAACTGAATTTGATAAACTAAAGGATGATAGTGTGTTTGAATTGCCTAAACAATCAATAAATGAAGAAAATACGAAAGAAGCATTACGACTAAATTCACTTGGTACACAAGCTCATAAAGATAGAAAGTA